ACGTCATTATAAGGGTGCGTCACGCTTTGGGATTAATGGGTTGGCTTCTTAGCCAACCAACCGTGTGGAAAAACCTTTCTGGGGTTTTATAAATATACGAGGGAAAAAAATATTTGATATATGATCTCTTGAAGAGAGTGACAATTGGCGGTGAAAACGCGAGTTATATGTCTTATAAAATTGGCCACAAAGGCAATCACCTTGACATTCGAGAGAAATTTTATCCGCAAAGATACTCGTAAATAGCATTGCATGTGAGTTTTCACAGTTCCAGTACATTAAATTTAGAATTTCTAATTTAATGCCTCTTCGCTGTTTGGTGGATGCTTTTCATGACCTTTCTAATTTGGTATACTTTTCCCATTCGACCATTGTAACTCTTTGGCCTGGTATTTTAATCACAGCGAGAATCATTATGAATTCTGCAGCAATTGTTGCTGCTAAAACCCGCTGTTTAGTTCATAAATGCCGCAAACACACACTCTACAGGTGCATTCAGGTGCACTTTTATGCCTATTCATGCTGAAAAGGGACTTTTGCAATTTTTTTCTGCTTCTTCTCTGCAACACTCTTGAGCAATTCCTCGTGTTAAAAATCAACGAAGGCGATTATTGACTTATTAATTGATTGGCAATGTGGGAGAGAAAATGTTGATCGATTGAGCTTAACATGGCTTTTATCCACTGGAATTACTCACATTACCAATCCCCCATATTGCATATGATGGACTACAAGTTTAGGAAATCTTGATCTTGAAGCTCTTTCTGCGTGTGAGGCATTCCGCAGAAGAAGCAGTAAAAAAATTCCAGCTCCAAATCAAGCAAACGAAAGTGCGTGCTTGTCGACATTTTTTCAGTGGCGTGACTCGTTGAAGAGTGTTTAAACTTCTGCATCCTGGGTCCAAAATAACACACACAAACTGCGTGCATTGAATTGTGAACCTTCGTGCACCGAAGTGAGATGGTAGAAAGGAAGAGTTTAGAGTAAATATATCGTGAGATCAAAAACCCATTTCAAGAGAGCCTCACTTTTGCTTCCACAGCCAAACGATATAGCGTCAAGCTATTGCTTACTCAAGCGACCAAGTGGAAAACCAAGTACAAGAGACGACTTTTTCACGGCAAAATGATAACGATAATTGGTCAGCACTGGAGGGAAGACACTTTTCACAACTGCCGGCTTTAGAGTTGCGCACGGCAAAAAAGACTGTCCTCAGTCGCGAGGCACTTCCTCATTTCCCAAAAATGCCTTCCGGCGTTTTTCGTATTAGTTGTGAATTAATTTCAGACTTTTATCATGTCACACAACTTCTTATGTCGTTGCTCGGATTTTTGCCTCCTCTTGTGTGTTGATGATGACCAGAGAGAGACTTTATACATTATGTATTGTGAAAAATATGAAAGTAACAAATCACTTCCAGTCGATATTGCGCAATCCTTAGCTCTTCCACTAGCGCGCTCTGTCTTGTAATTAAATCGACCAATCTTATCAACCTCGTAAACGGACGAACGACATTTTATAGCTCCCATTTTATACATATCTCTCTCTCTCTGTGTCTCAAAGTTGTGGAGGTTTTTCGCTTAAAAGCTCTCCTTTGCGAAAGCACAGCAAAAAAGTCACTCTCAATGTTAATTTTGTACTCCCTGAGAAAATGCGGCGCACAGCTCTAAATTGACTGGCAAACACACAGGTACACATAAAAGCATATGAGAGCAACATGACTGTGTCATGTACAATTGGTTATAAGGTAGAAATATAGCGGATAGTCCGCGATATTCAAACCGGCTATCTCGTGTGATTTTGCTATTGAGAAGTGCGGAAACTGTGACTCTTTCGCGCCATTTCTCCACTCAATATCGTTTGACTTGCGATTCAACTCTCTGGCGACACAAACACACACACGCAGAGTGTTGATTTAGTGCTGAATTATTTTAATAATTAATTTCTTTTCTGTTTATGCCCCGGAAGTTCACAGCATTTCCCTTGCATTTCCACCCACCCATCGACCAGAGTCGTAACATTGAATAACAGTGAAGCGCGCAATTGTTTCCCATCGAACTCCCCTTTCTTCGCCCCACACACTCAAGACTCCTCAGTGATTTTCACTTTTTTCACACTACATCAAACTCCGCGGCTGCTTCTTCTTGTGCGCGCAATGCGCGACATTCAATATTGAAGAGAATCGAACGCACTCTGATGGCCGTGATTATTTGCTCACGCGCAAGAGGATGACAAAAGTGCGGCCAGTGTTTGGTCGGCGGCAATTTGACCCATTCTCACGCCGCAGAGTGCAACGGACAATAAATACCACCAACTATTGCTGTGGAATGACTGAAATATGCACATCAAGAGTGTGGACAGCAATAAATGTCTCAGAGTGTGGCGCGGCCATTGAGAGAGAGAGAGAAAAAAAGACTTCATTTTGCACACCAGCGCAAGTAAACACTTTCTAAAATGAAAATGAAATTAAAATTGTATTAAAAAATGAAGACTGGAAAAAAGAGTGCTCGCGAGCAGAAGCAGAAGAAGTAGCCAAAGTGGGAGAGTCCGCGCAGATGATTGAAGAGTTGGGCATTTGCGTGCATTAAAACAAACAAACCCCGCCGACACCCGATAAACGTAACACATTGCAATAATATCCATAATGATGTGATCAACAGATATGATTGATGGCCGCGCGCGCGCACACTGCCTTTTGTATATATATGACTCTTGAAGAGAAGAGAAGCTCTCCTTTTTAAAAAGAAAAAAAAACACCCATTATAAACCCGTAATAATTTGCGATGTGAGTAAACTTGAACTGTGCGCGCCAAGACAATTTTCCACCTGCTTTGCCACATTGATTTTCCTCCTCAACACTTTTGCACTCTCTTGCAGTGTTGTGATGCAATGTGCGCCTGTTTTCTCAATTTCTGAGACACTTTTTCCTCTCATCGTGCGCACACTGGGCGGCGTGAGAAGAGTCGTCAAATACTATAATTTGTGGTCACACTGAATTAATTTCTAATGACCAGCGCCTTGATTTTCCCATAAGAACAATATTTCGACAGATGACTTGCAATATTACGCATGACACGCTCACATAACGCACTATTAAGTGCAATAGAAGATGATAAAACCCAAAATACACTTCAGATTTCTGATACAGTTCGAAGATATCGAGATGATCAACGGATATGGAAAATGTGGGAATGTCACAGTGCATTTCTTCTCATGTGGCGAATAATTAGGTGTGGATTTTATCTTCAACGTGGCATTAAATTGGATGGCATGTGTTAAAGCTTTTAGCGCCTATTTGAGGAATTCGCCGTGAAATACACATGTTCATAGATTCATAAGTGCGTGTGTTGTTCAACATCTGGAAATTTTTATAAACATTTAATTAGGAACTTGTTCGGTAGCAAAAGTCATTAAACTTTTTTAATGTTAATTTGGAATATGAGAACATCATAGATTGTGGGACATCACGATTAATGCCGCAAGTGTTTTGCATATGACATCATGAGATGATCGCGATCTTGTAATATATTTTTTCTCTCTCTGTGTTTTGGGTTAAACATTTTATGGATTCACCTAAATTTGTACAAAATTACAATAACCAATGAATACACTGGTTGATGTTATATTATTTCGGTGGGTTTTTGAGTCAAAAGGCAAAAGTAATAAATACATAATGAAGAAGGTGAAAAGTGAATTTTTAATTATTTTCTTGGTCATCCACCGACACAGTAAAAAAAAAGACTAAAAATTCACTTCTCTATTGCAAAATCATCCTCATAATTGTATTAAATTGAATTCGAGATTACTTAACACAATTTCTGGTCGCTCTTGTGTTCTTTCTCTGCGTGTTTTGTTTGCACCAGAAAAGAAAAGGTGGGCTTGAAAGTCTTCTTCAGGGGAAATTATATAGTGTTGAAATTAATTACTGAACAGCGCGTCAGGAAATTCGCTGCATTAATCTTGATGTACGATCTTTTGGTTTATTCTTTTTTATTGGCTTTCATGCTAATTTTGACACTCATTTGACACACACTCGTCCAAAACTCCTGTCGCTCCTGATCACGTTGATCTCTTTGGTGGGATCATTGATTTCTCACCTTCACTTTCGCGCAAAAAAAGCCCCACTATGCTAAAGAGTGTAATTTTCTGCACTTGAAACCGTTTAATTTAACACCGCGCGATTGCCATGCAAATGAAGGTGGCGATGAGACGAAAAACTTTATCAATTTTAGCACTTCTTTTTCTCTCTACCTTCTTTAGAGATCATGATCACGATTTTTATTGGAATCTTTTTCCTGCAATTTTCGATCTGAGAAATGGATTGTGAGTGTGTGTTTCATTCCAAGTGTGTTTTGGGGAGAGCAAATGAAAGAGAAATTGCGGTTGATCTTATTTCGGAAGAGTGCAAGAAAAAGTTGAGAACAACTTTTCTCAAGAGGTAAAAAAGACAAGAAACTCTGCGTTGTTTGGCTACAATAATTCAGTTCACTTTTGATTTCGTAAGATAATTGGTGTATATATGTGAAATATTGCGCATGAAATTTGCAAAGATATCTTTTCTCACAAATACTCTGGAGTTTCGCTGCATTAGTTTGGGTTTCTAAGAAATGATATTCATTGTGGACGCTTTTTTTCCATGCCTTATCTTGAGGAGTATTTTCTCATGTTGGTGAACATGAGTGACAAAAGGCGAAGACAAAGAGTTTATTTCCAGTGTGTTTGGGCTTGTTAAATTGATTTGGGTGGCACGACTCAATTGATATTCCGATAAATCCACCAATGTTTTGTGATGAGAGTCTTTTGGGTGAAATTGACGCGCGCGCATTTTGCAAAACTCGCCTTGTCTGACGGCGAACTTTGCCTGGCTATTCGCGCGTTGTTGGTATTGTGTGTGATTGCTTTGGCGCGCGCATTGAACGGCGATATTTTACAAAATTAATATTAAAACAACTTTCTATATAACAGGCCAATACATGGGGGCAACATTTTATATCGTTTACCTCTTAGTTTTGTTGATGCGGTCACAACTTTTTTTTTTCCTTCACACAACTGTTAATGTGTATTTTTCTCAATAAAAATCTCCGTGGGTGGGTTTTCTGTGGAATGCTGAGCGCAGAATGGTGAAAATTTCTCGTGTGGAAATTTTCACAAAAATCCTGAATTGTAAGATGGTTTTGTCCGTGTGAAATTGGCGAGAGAGCGCGCGCGAGAGCTGGTCGAAAAATATCGGTTTTTCTCAAGAGATATGAGAGATGATGCTCTTTCTTCAAAGGCACTGCATTCACTTTTTGCTCATTGCGCTTCTCGAATTGGATGCGGAGAATTTCGATTGAGCCAAGAGTAGTGCATTTGTCTCTTTGTGTCCAATGAGAAGGAATTGTTGAGTATTTTTTTTTTTTGTAGGAGAAAAACCAGCACCAACTGATAAAATTACTCTCTTAAGCACACTTCTTCGATTCACTTGAATTTCCTTCTTTGACTCTTCTGCGGTTGTCTTGCCAAAACACCGTAATGAGGAGGGACTTGAAAAAGGGCTTTGTGTCCGTGAAGAACAGAACCAACTTTGTTAGGCGAGAGAGAGAGAGAAGATCACAGATGCAAAAAACAGCGTTCCTTCACGAGTCCGCGAGATATTGAAATTGAGAAAGTCAACCTCTCGAATTGAACTACCAGACCAGACTGGCTCTTGTGGCCGTACGGGTTTCATAAAGAAGTTGCGCTTCCTCCAGCACCAACACCACAATCCGCGTCTCGAACTTTTTCCAAGCAATTTGCGATGTTTCTCGCTCTCTCGCTCTCTTTGGGGGTGTTGAGAATGAGAGCGAGAGAGCGAATGAACGTAGACTGTTGCCAATGTGTGTTGAATTGTTATATTTGCTGGCGATGTGAGATTCCGGGCTCCCGCTTTTGGGGCTCTCTTCGAAGAAGAGCGCGCGATATTGGACTTAAAGTGCAGACAAAAGAGGAATTTCGATGCTAAACTCCAAATCCAAAAGGGTAATTTATGGGTTTTCAATAGCACGTAAGAAGAGCCAAAAAATTTAGTATGGAAATATAGTTGGTTAATCGATTCTCTTTGTCTGTCCTTTGGAATTGCACGAAATGGTCAAAAATTTCTGGGTTAATCGACAAGTAAGTGATATTTGTTAAGTAGTGTCACAAAGAATGGACATCAATTATGTAATCTATCTTGATTCTCTTATCAGTTTTCAACTCCCTTTTTATCCATTCTTTTCTTTAGCACTTGCAAAACTCTTGAGCCTGACTTTTGGCCTGAAACAAGGTTGAACTTAAGACTGAACTTTCCTTTTTCTAACAACAGCTTCAGAGCTTCTCAAGGGCAAAGTTTGCCATTATCTTTCGCTTGAAGTACATTCACTCTCGAGTGTGTTTGTGTGTGATTGCATTATATTAATCTAATAAGCCCAAAGAGAGGAGTCTTTATGGACAAGAGGTGTCTTGACACGCTGAAGATTGCGCTCAATTCTCTCTCTTCTTTCTTACACATTGTGAAAGTAAAACTCTTGGTGCAAGAAAAAGTGAAAAAAAGAGTCCGTAAATCTCCAATGTTGTCAATAAATAGGAAATATATCGACACGCGGTGGTGTTATTTTCTCACATTTATTATACCATCAAAATCCTGAACTTTTATATCTTCTGCGGCACAAGCGTTAAATGCGATTCATTGTCCGGGCACAATTTGACGCTATATGTTGGTCAGTTTGCCATTGTTGAGGAGAGAACCTTCAAATTGCACGTCTGAATGTTGGCGTCTTTGGCTCTCTTTTTTTTGGAGCTTTTCATCAATTAAAGGTGGGTGAGGGCAAAAATTTATATCAATCAGCCAATAATTGTGGATCTAATTGAATTTTTCGGGCTAGAGTAGCAATTTCACGAGAAAAAATTCAATTATTTCCGCCACATGAAGTACAATTTGATGGTTGGCGAAGAAGTGAGGGAAAAAATATGGTTTTCTCTTACCCCGTCTTTTAATCTCTTTGCTGGCTTTTGCTGGCTTTTGCTGGGCTTTTGCTGTGTGTGCATTGAGGATCAATTGAAGCATGAAAATGAAGTCGTTTGGGTTTTACAAAGAAGCACCATTCATTCTTCTCTCTCTTTCTCACACTCATTCTCTTCACCCTTTTTGCCTTTAATGAATTGTTTTATCATTGACCTTTCTTTGGTGGGCGCTCTCTTGATGGTGAGGCAAAAACGAAACCACAATTTTATTTATAAAGTATAACATCGCGTCAGAACATTGAAGTTGCCATGTTAAATTGTTTTGGGGCGGGAGAAGGAAAAAGACGCGCGTTATGAGTGTTTATGATGTATGTTTTTTAATCCGTGTGTGAACGCCTTTTTGGTGGAGTCTATTGAGAATCACGATAATATTGTAAAAATGATCAATAGTGCAGTTTAGTGTGGAGTTGAGCTCTTTTGTTCTTCAGCCACAGAATCACTGATGATCTCATTTTCATCTTCACATTGCGCACAAGATAGAATTACCATAGAGAAGAAGTTCTCTTCTATATCATCGACTCAATCAGTCTCAATAGTGCAGAAAAATGTGTTTCTCCACTGAGAGAGAGAAAGAGAAAGAAGTCTCTGGGTGGAGTTGATGAGGAAGTTGAAAGGAATCATTAATATAGCATTGACCCCATGATGTTTGGAGATCATCTTCGCGAGAGATTCCACTCTATGTGTGGTAAATGCCCAAAGAGAATTACCAATTATAATTTATTCAAATCCATGGCAATTTGGCAGGGAGATAGAATTCTGCGGTTGCGCGACGAGATGCTTTCGCCCGCGAACCACTTGATCTTGACCTTGCGCTGTGCCAATAAACTCTTCTTTTTGCCATCGTCACACACCTCCCAAAACCTCAGCCTCACTCGCGTCTAATTGACGCTGACGCACCGTGAAGCACCTGAGATGTTGGTGAAGATTATTGTTGTGACAATAATAATAAAGTCGTGAGACTTTGAAGTTTTGCTTGATAGGAGTTGATCAACCGAAAAAGAGGGAATCGTGAGGAAAATGCTGATTAGCCTCTTTGGAGGATGGTGAAGATCCTCGAGATTTGCGTAAATCCCTAAGTTCAATGCTCAATAAGACGCGCGCGGAGTCTTGTCGAGAGAGTGTTGAGAATTATCATTTGGCGGTGTCAATCGCCTCTCTGTCTCTCTCTCTGGGATTCATGGCGAAAAACTGGAAAGAGTGTGAAAAACACAGGGGCTAAAATTGCTAATGCAATCACAAAATTCTCCAGAGATTTGCTAGATATCATTGACTTGTGGAGGTTTTTGTCCTTGAGACGCGCACACGTTTCTGGTTTTTAGCCGATGACGATGTTTATCAAGCACTTTTCTACTATTTATGCTGTTTAATCATGCTTGCGGAGGTTTATTCACGTGATAAGAAAGAGTTTTTTAAAAGACCTTTGATTGATTCTTGGGACTTTTGGGCTATAAAATACACAATCGACACAATTTATCAGTGATCTTTGGGTGGAAATCCACAGAATTCTTCCTCTTTCAGCCTTTCTTTTTCTGTCCACTCAGTGTTTCCCGAAATGTTTACCTCTGCACACGACTGGCGCGATGTTATGTTTTGTGCTGGTGAAGTGAAAACGGACGCATGCGTCTTCGCGGGCATTTTCCTTCTCCACTTTGTATGCCGGAAAACCCCGCTCTTCGCCTCGCCGAGTGTGGCGAATGAGCGGGGCAAATATTGCGCCCGGAAAGCTCTGCGTCGTCTCGTGGCTGGAAAGAATATTCAGTCAAAATAGCAATTGCGTGTAGAATAGGTTGAAGAGCGAAGAAAGAAAGATATATATATTTTGATTTCTCTTTTTAGTTTTCTATTTTTCCAAACCTTTATTTCGCGACTCCCAAAATAGGCGCGCGTACATCGCAAGTAAAAGAAGAAGTAAGAAAAAAAGCGTGTTATTCATTGAGAGAGTCAATCTTTTTTCTCGCTAAATAAATTTCCAATTAAATAGCAATTAAACTTGTGTGATTGCCACGAGAGGGAAAGAGATAAAATATAGGAAACATCTTGTCAACAGCAATCAGTGGAGAATTGACAAAGATACACTGTTTTTTCTTTGCCTCTTTGCCCGTGTTGTGTGTTGGCTCAGGAGTTGTGGAGACACAGAGAATATTAGAAGACGTTTGGATAATGAAAATTCTTGTGAAATGTTTCTACGTCAAATGCTACAGTTTGTCAAGAGTTGCCAGAAAATGTCCAGAGGTTTGACCTTCTCATATCCTTTGCCATCAAAAAAAAAAAGCTTCGGCACGAACAATGAGTGTTTGATTAATTGCGCTGATAGTAATTGAGCTCTGTTCTTTCCCGCAGAATCACCTCTGACTGTGTCTGGACATCAAGCGGGTCGCAGCATTATGCCGTGCGTGTTGAGTGCCCCACTCGTTGTCACTCTGGTGGGCTTGCCGTGTCGCGGCAAGTCATTTGCCGCCCATCGCATTGCGCGTCACTTGAACTGGCGAGGAGAATCGGCCAAAGGTGAGAGCAGAAGGAGAGAGAGAGAGAGAGCGAGAGCGCCTTATCGCGCGAGCCGCCGATGATAGCGAGAGTTGGGCAGAATTGGGGACAGTGCGGGCATAGCTCAGTCGTAGAGCATTCGACTGCAGATCGAGAGGTCCCCGGTTCAAACCCGGGTGTCCGCTTCCCTTTTGCCCCCTTTTTTTGCCCAACTCTTCCGCCCCTGGCCATCATCCCTTGCGCCACACTGCCAATGAAACGATCAATCTGCTCTTGCTTTCAGTCTTCACCGTGGACGAAGCGGCAACGCCTGAGACTCTGAAGGAGATTTTGGCACACTTCCAGAGCGGCAATAATGTGGCCGTGAGTAATATTTGTCCTCATTTTTCTAATGAATTATCATCAGTTTTCGGGATTTATAATGAGAATGTTCAAGTTTTGATATTCATTGTGGCGAGAAAAGCGCAAGATTTGCGCGAGTTGAAGTGTAAATGAAGCAATGAAAACCAATGTTTCTGACTAGTTTATTGGTTGTAAGTTAATTGATTACCTGCTAAAATTCTTACACAAGCAAATAAATGCACTTTTATGCTCGTCTTTTAGTGGAAAACCGGGAGATTAGCTCATCTTATAGCTCTTATAGCTCTTCTTATAGCTTTTGAATAAATAAATTGTTTATTTGCCATGAGAAATGCTTTTAGAGATTCAACCTCGACCTGCAAAGTGAATGATTTATCAGGATTTTGCACAAGAATGGAATTTTCCTCAGCAACATTGCGTGATTTCTCTTATCAAATTGCCGTTGATTAATTTAGAGTGTTGTCACAGTGGAAGATTAACTGGGAAACCTTTTAATATTGCAGATAATCGATGGCATGCATCTCACGCGACAGTCTCGCCAGGCGGTTTCGGCCTTCTGCAGCGACACAGCCTCGCATCACATCCTGGTGGAGATCTCGTGTGACGACGTGGAGGTGACGGACAACATGGAGCGCACGCTCACGTTCTATGAGAAGCGCGACAAGAGCACGGACTGGCGCCATGTGATCCAGGAGAAGGTGCATCGCCATCTGGAGGAGTACGAGCCTTGCAGTGCCGCCGAGGCGCCGCTGATTGCCGTCAGTGCGTCGGCGAATCCCGCCCTGCACGCCGTGACGGCCAGAGGCATTCAGGGGGCGCTGCAGACCGTGATCCTGGGCGTGCTGGCGAGTCCGCTGATCAAGGAGCACGTGTTCTATTTCACGCGCCACGGCGAGAGCAAGTTCAACATGATGGGCCGCATTGGTGGCGACTCAGGGCTGTCTGAGCGGGGCGCCAAGTATGCCGAGCGTCTGGCCATCGCGTGTCCGGCGCCCAAGCTGATCTGGACGTCTGAACTGGAGCGCACGATCGCCACGGCGAGAGCCATTCCGGGCGCCAGGACGGCGCTGAAGGAGCTGAATGAGATCAACGCGGGGATCTGCGAGGGGCTGACGTATGAGGAGATCCAGGAGCGCTTCCCGCAGGAGTTCGCGTGGCGCGACCAGGACAAGCTCAAGTATCGCTATCCGCACGGCGAGAGCTATCTGGATCTGCTGCAGCGCGTGGACAACGTCATCCAGGGCCTCATCACGGCGTCCGAGGTGCTGGTGGTGTCGCACCAGGCCGTGCTGCGCTGCATCATGGCCTACTTCATGGGCACCACGCCGGAGGATGTGCCCTACATCAATGTGCCACTCCACACGCTGCTCGTCGTGCGATCGCGCGGCTACGAGTTCGAAGTGGAGCCGATTCCGCTGAAGGTGGAGTGCGTGGACACGTACAGAGTGCAGCCGCAGGTGAGTCCTTCGTCCGATTCCTTTCATTCCTATGTCCACTGTCGTGTCCTTGCAGAATTGCTCACCCGGACGCACCGATGCTGACGCTCTGCAGACTGTGCCGGCACACTTTGATGCTCCTCTGCCTCAGGTGATCAACTGAAGGCGCGCAGATGATGGTCAATTTTATGCATTTATGCACACCTTTTGCATAGTAATCCCCCCCCCCCCCCAAAACTTATCTCACACAAATTTATTAACGACAAAAAAAAAGCTCCTTTCTAGTGTCAAAAATTTCGATAGGAATTCACACACAAACACACACAGCAAAAGTTAACAGGGCAGAATAGGAAAAAAGAAAGAAAGAAAGAAAGAAAAAGGAAGTCTTCTCTAGAGTAAAAAATATTGATTGAAAAATTGAGATCACACGAAAAAAAAAAGTATTCAACTGCCAGGTTAATCCCAGGGATAACATTTTGCACATGTTGAGAGAAATGCAATTAAAAAAGGAACAAAAATAATGGCGAAAAGAAGTGGGAGAGAAAATTTAGGCATTAAGGATTATTAAGGAAAGGCGAAAAGCATCGACTTTTTTTACACATGCAATCCATGCAATAGTTTGTATAGAGATTTTCCATTTAGTGTTGCCCTGCAGAAGGAGAGCGCGCGTCCCTTAATTTTCTATAATAATATCCCTTTTGTTATAATGCTTTTTTATTCACATTTTATATATATATATATATATATCTTTAATGAATATATACTATTGTAGAGGATAATAATAATGATGATGAGGAGGAGAAGGAAAAAGTGTCAACCATTACAATTGAACCGTAGATCTGTAGGACATTTTTGACATGTTACTAATTACCTATGTTATGTGATATATATTTTATTGAGGAGGAAAAGGAGAAGGAGAGAAAAAAATGCGGAGCAAACAAAATACGGAAAGCAATGTGAAGTGTTTTCATCATTGACTATCATTGGCTTGTATTACTTATTTTACACACGAAGGAGTTCTTTTCTTTGTAATGTTAAGGACAAAATTACGTATATATATATATATAGATAAGTTTTAATAAATATATTCTAAGGAAAATCAGTCTTTCTTTTTTTCTTCAACACGGAAAATGTGTCTAAATTTAGTGTAGAAAAAAAAGTTCATTGTCGTCAAATAAACATTTCCACGGTTGATTAACTGACCTCGTATCGTTGAGACTTGCAATAAAAAAAAAAAACTTAGGTAAGAACCACAAATTAAGGCAATTAAAATAAATCAATAAAAAAATTTCCATCTTATCATTTAAGAGACAGAAAATTGCAATCTAAACTTCACCGGTTTCTGTAAATTCGTGATAAGAATGGCACACGAACAGCGTATAAAAGCTCTGCGCGACTCGACGTGGATTCACAGTGAATTTTTCCACAGTGTTGCTAAAAGATGTTCACAACGAAAGTTCTTTTCTGCCTCTTTGGCATCTTCCTGGTCGTTTCCAGTGCGTGTGTTTAAATTGTGGTTTCTAAAAGATCTTAGTTTGACATGATCCTGATTTCCAGGTGCACCGGATTTTAAGGTTCAGCCGAGAATCTCTGGTGGAAGTCCAGCTGGAGATGCGCAATATCCTTTTATGTGCTCCATAAGATTGCTGAATACGGGCGTTCTTGGCACATTGATTCCAACTCACATTTGCGGCGGAACTTTACTCAGTCCGAGTTGGGTTCTCACGGCCACGGATTGCGTATGGAGTATTCCCAGTTTAGACTTAGTCTATATTGTCTGCGGAACGAACAGTCTGATCGACTTGCCAAACCTGCCACTGTTGAGCATCTTGAACCAGAACGGTGATAAGCAAGTCCGCAGCATCAGTACACAGGTTCCAAGTCCAGGAGGAGGTCCTTTGTCGCTGTCTGTTGTACGTTAATCTAGATTGTGTTATCACTGCAACAATGCGTGAAAGAATATTTCTAATTTTTCAGCTTGGCGTTTCGCAGCCATTTACTTTAAATGCACACATTCAACCCGTGAATCCAGCAAGTCTTCTGCCACCTGAAGGATCTCCAGTTACAATCATGGGCTGGCAAAACGTACTGACAACGCAATTACAAGTTACCAACGTGGACATTATCAGCAATTCGCAGTGTCAAGCTGACGTTGCAGGAAAAGCGCCGGCCATCACAGTCACCGCCAATATGTTCTGCACTGGAAATCCTGAGAGTGGTTATGGCGATTGTGATGCTGATAAAGGATCGCCAGTGATGGATAACGACGTCTTGATTGGCGTCAATCTCTGGAGTCCAACTGGATGCGCTGTTACTGGCCTAACTCAGCCTTATCCAAATGTTCACTTCTCCATTCCATCCTTCCTTGGCTTTGTCAGTCAATTCACATGAAGCAGTTGATGGGAAACATCCCAATTTCTGTACTTCTCCATATAAAAACAAGAATAAAAATGTTTAAGGATAACAAATAAATGCTTGTACAGTTGAATTCCAAAGCATAATTTTTCATTGAATAACTTTACAGTCAATTAAGAGAAATTGTGCTTTACAGCTTGATAATAAAACCCAAATAAAAGTCACACAATAGCATAGAATAAAAATAATAAAATATTCCGTCTCTTGTTGTGTAAGATACGGAAAGAGAAAGGAGAGTTCAATAAGGAGTTTAATGACCTTTAAATCTGTTGTCCGTAATCTCGATTCCTTTATTCTTCATTTGTTATCACAACCATTATTACTCTTTTATTACTAATTGCCTGATTATGCAAAAGTGCATTTTTGGCCAAGCGAATAATTTCATGGTCGATCAACAGGACACGTGCAGATGAATTTACAATGAAAAGCACAAAATAAGGCTATCACGGTAAACTAAAAACAGAATTTCAATTGGCTTCATAAGTTTGTGATAAGAAGTCGAAATAAGAGTTCAGTGCGACTAAAAGTGGATTTACAGTTGAAAGTGAAGAGAATCAGTGTGTTATTCTCAAGATATTTGCAATGAAAGCCTTTTTCTTGCTCTTTGGTGCCTTCCTGGTCGTTTCTTGTGCGTATCCTTCAACATTTTGTTGAATAAAGCCAGAGAAAGTTAATGCTTACACGATCTTATGTCACTAGGTTCACCGGATTTTGAGATGCAGCCGAGAATCGTCGGCGGTATTCTAGATGATTATGAGGCATATCCTTTTATGTGCGCCTTAAGTACGCGGCTCAGTTTAGTGCGCGATATTGGCGCATTGATTCCATTGCATCTGTGCGGCGGAACTTTATTGAGTTCGCGATGGATTCTCACGTCGACAGGGTGCGTGAGGAATTTTCTTCCTACGCTGAATTCGATCAACGCCGTGTGCGGAACGAACCAAAACATCGACGTGTCACTGTCGCTGTTAAACCAGAACAGTGATGTGCAAATTCGGGAAATTGACACAGAAGTTCGCACTCCAGAATCAGATTCACTCTCAGTTGTAATGTTCATCGGGATATTTTTCACCAAAAATTCATTCTTCATTTTTCTTCAAAAATGAAGAAGACAGAATTAAATTTCATACTACAAATGAAAACCGTACGGCTTTTCTCCTGTCGAGAGCATTTCCACTTGTTGTGACTTTGTTTAATAATCCTTTAATCCAATTTTATTTATTCCTCAATTCTGTCAGGAAAATTGTATTTTATTCATTTTCATGCGTTTTCTGCTTGCTCTGCAATGTTTCATTCATGTTTCGAAACAGCATATTTAAATCTGATGACAAGCTGAAGTTAGCAACAATTCGCTCCTTGCCGGCCAACACAGCGATATATCGATAGCAATAGTCAGCGATATATCGGAAATATGCGGATTTTAAAGGATAAAACGAATCTCAGAGGAAAAACTGCCCAACGACAAAGAGAGGGTCCTGGAAGAAGCATTAAAATAAGAAGGAATGAAAAGTCTAATACGTTGCCAATTATTTCCGGTTTAAGCGGGATTTCGGGGATTCCCCGCAGAATGCTGCTGAATCAGCTATTATTGCAAATCGCTGATAACGCTGATAAGCATTTTAGGGCGTTATCACAGTGCGTGTCTGTAGAAAGTGTCAGGAATTGTGAAATTAGAAGCTGAATTGTGCCAATACAGATATCATTTGAAGAGGAAAAGCTGCGGAATGGAAGGCTCGAGTTCGAAAGAGAAGAGAAAAGATCAGAAATCTTCCCAGGATCACGTTGTGCGCGCGAGCAAGAAAATGTGGTTATATCGGGAGAATGAAACGCTTTGCGACGTGATTCTGATCGCTGGAGAAGATAAGCAGAGGTGAGTTCGCAGTTTTCCACTATCTTGGCTTCTTGAGAATCTCATCCTGGCCACTCCTTCACAGAATCTCCGCCCATCGCGTTGTCCTGTCAGCGGCTTCTGATTACTTCGAAGCAATGTTCACGGGAGACTTCCGGGAGTCTCGGGAAGAAGAAGTGATTCTGAACGAGATTCCCGGAGACGATCTTCGGCGTCTGGTGAAGTTCTGCTACACAGGAGAATTAGAACTGAGCGAGGAAAGTTCTGTGGAATCCGTGAAGACGCTCATGAGCTCGGCAAATCTCCTTCAATTGAAAAGCGTGGTAAGAGATTGCGGTGCTTTCCTGAAACGTTATCTGCATTCCTCAAACTGCCTGGGAATCGCTGTGTTTGCCGATCAGCACAGTTGTGACGCTCTTCTTGAAGCGGCAAGGAAGTACGCTAACCAGCATTTTCTCGAAGTGTGCAAGAAGCAGGAGTTCCTTCAGATCTCCGCCGTGCAACTGGGCAAATTGCTGGCCAGCGATGATCTCAACGTGCCATCTGAGGAAGACGTCTTCCGTGCGTTGCTGGCGTGGTTTCAGCATGCTTCTAAGGAGCGGAAGGTTTACATTCCCGATCTTTTGGTGCTCATTCGACTTCACCATCTTTCTCCCGAGGTTAAATTTGATGATTCAGTTCTTGTTTCTCAACTCTTCAATAATTCTTTCTTTTCTTCCTTTGGCAGTTTATCGTCGATCAGGTGAAGCCGCTGTGCGAGAGCAGGAATTGCCTGGATTTGGTGACGAAAGCTTTTGAGTGGAAACTCATTCCGGAACGCCGTGATCTGATGCCCAACCAGAAGTCTCGTCGATCAGGAAAAGGAAAGTTGTTGGCTGTGATTAGGGATAATAGCAGGAGTCGTTATGTCCTCAGATCGTATTGTCCTGAAACCAAGCAGTGGACACTTGAGACGGAATTTATGATCGGTCGGAATAATTGTAGCACAGTTCTTGCGAACAACAATATAATTTTCATTGGAGGGTATGAAGGAGGAGCTTCAAAGAAAGTGGACAGTTTTGATATCAAAACCAAGACACTAAAATCGTGAGTATTTCTAAAAGGAAGCGCAAATTTTATATCTTTTATCCACATAAATATCTTCTGTTGCAGCCTCTCACCAATGAATTACTATCGCCGTTTCTGCTGTGCTGCAGTTCTGGATGGATTTCTCTATGTGTTTGGTGGCGAAGATAGTAAAAACAAAAGCCTGAACAACACAGTGGAGCGATTGGATCTGAGCAGCGGAATCTGGAACATGGAAACTCCGATGCAGACTAAGCGAAGCGAGGCTGGAGTCGCAGCCTTCGAAGGACGATTGTTCGTGATCGGCGGACTCGCTGAGAAGAATCAATGTCTTAATTCTGTTGAGCGGTACGATCCGCAAACGAAGGAGTGGAGCTTCAGGGCTTCCATGGAGAAACGACGATCTTTTCTTGGAGTGACAGCAACCAGAGACTACATCTATGCTTTCGGCGGGTATGACCACGAGAATAGAGCGTTATCATGCGTGGAGAGATACGATCCCAGGGCAAATTTGTGGACTATCGTGGCGTCGCTCAATATTTCTGATTGGATTAGATCTGTTCTTGTGGGAGAGAAAATTCTATGTGCTACAATGCCTTCAGGGGTAATTAGAATTGCAACTTGAGAAAGTTTTAACTTGTAATAATTTGTCTTTTTTTATCCGTTTTATAGAAAGTTGTGCAATTCGATCCGGAAAACAACACTTCGTCTGAATTTCCGAAATTGGATATTCCATCAGGTCATTCTTTTAATAATCTTTTTTACAACACTGACAACTGATGCGCTCAACAAGCACAATATTCCCTCGAAGATATCTAGAATGGTGATTTGGCATCACGTGAAAATCCTAGATTTCCACTGAATTTTCCACTCATTTCCTAAATATTCGATAGAAAACACAAGAAGCTGCGGAAGGTGAAAGTTTAAAGTTAATCTTGCAAAATAACTGCAAATATTCCTTGAAATTTGGAGTGAAATTAAAATTGGAATTCTGTTGAAAGAGAAATAAAAATGTTGCGAAGAAGCGTTAAAAACAAAACAGGAAAAAAAAACATCTAAACTTATTTAACACAAACAATTCTCGTTTCGTCGAAAACTTCCACCAGATTTTCCATAAGAATTTTCCTATGTGGAAAAATAATTCAAAAATTGCCATTGAAGATTCTCGAAAGTTATTAATCTGCAGAAATTTTAGCAAAAAAAAATCTCATAATCTGGAGGGAAAAATGTGCGTTTTTGGTCCTTGAGTTTTCGAAGTACGGAAAGATCAACCTTTTGTCCACCTTGAGAAATGCTCTAAGTTCAGATAAAACAGCTTTATTTCGAAACCAGCGGAAAAGAACAGGAATTCACTCATTCGCCCCTTCCGGAATCCACCTGGACGAGTTGCTCCACAATCTTCTGGGCGACGAACGACGACTTCCTCTTGAACGCCTTGAAGCTCTTCCTGCTCAAGGAGTCGCTCGACGACTCATCAGCCAAGCTGCTGTCCATCAGCTTCGTCTGCACGCACGCCTTCAGCGAATCCGTCCAGTCGCCGCTCTTCTCCGCTTCCTTCTCGCTCTCCTCCAGACTGGCTTCGGAGAACTTCTTCGACAGCCAACCCGTCGACTTCATCTCGCAGCGCGAAATCTTCACCGGCTCAGCGAACGTTGGCGGCTTTGGGAGCGACACAGCCGCAGATTCCTGGCCTTTGTTTCGCGCTGAACTCCTGACCGGCTGGGATTTGGGAATAACAGCTTCCGGAGCCTTCTTCCGGGCTCTCTTCACCACAATGCTGAACTCCTCTTCGGGTGAATTGTTCAGCAGATCTTTGAGCTTTCTCTTCTCGCGCGATGGACTTTCCGGACGCCGCCTTTCTGGCGCCACAGCTGCAGATCTTGTCCTCTTCGATGGCCCAGCATCCTTCTCTACTCGCGTCCAGGCGCTTCGCTTCCTCTTCTCCGCCTTCTGACACCATGTAATAATAATTAGATCAGGTGTGGCGAATCCGCGTCCATTTATTTGGGCCTTCAATGGCTAACTGCCTACATGTCTGGCAACACCTCAGTGTTGCCAACATACTCCTTACATCTCCCTTTTCACGGGTTTTCCAAACAAAAGAAAATGAACACAAAATATAAACTTCAATTAGTTATAAGCTTAGCAAAGCAAGAAGAAAATAATTTCAAATTAATACTTAGATGGAGGAGAATTGAAAATGTGAATTCAAAGATCCAGCCTCTTTGGCGGTTTTACAGTACGTCCGGATCGTGTTTGATAAGCTCCGGGTGAAGATGACGATTGCAGAGTCACAGAAGTGGAGACTGGCATAGTTAATGGAGCCGCTGTTGATGGCACTACTTCTGGAGTTGTCGCCCTACTGGTTGACTCAGGAGTCTGTTGGGAGGCATTATCGTGAATATGATTATTCATACCTGGGAGACTGTCGACAAGTCCATCCGTAAACTCCATCAAAGGTATTGATCTCTGCAGGCTAGGGGGCATTATAGGGTTTTCGGTTTTTGTAGGATGGATGAAGTGGCGATTTCTCCAGACATTTCTTCCATCATCCATGTCCACGTTGTAAGACCGATCAGAGGCATGAGAAACGGTGCCTGTCGACCAGGACTGATCACGTTCCTGCACTCTTACTCGATCTCCAATTTCCAACTTCGCGAATGGTTTTGCGCCGACGTCAGCATAATGTTTCTGTTTTTCTCTAACTTCCTTCAGCTGATTTGGGGTCTCTTTGAATGCACTCGGAACTAGCAAATTCTTGTTCATACAGAGAGGATTGCGAGTCCTTCTACCAAACAATCTCTCTGCCGGTGACCTTAGCTCCGCTCCTGGTGTATTTCTCGAGAGTAGGAGAGCCAATCTGATGTCCTGTTTGTCTTCGGAGCATTTCTTCAGCAATTTTTTAGCTGTCTGGACGTAACGTTCAGCCAAACCATTGGATCTTGCAAAGTACGGACTGGAAATATGATGCTCAAAATTCCACTTTGTTGCAAACTCCTTAAACTCTCGGCTGGCGTATTGTGGCCCTCCGTCACTATGCAGTTCTAGCGGGACACCGTGTTCTGAGAACTGATATGACAGATAGTTCTTCAAGGAGTATGTATTTTTGTTGTTTGTTGGGGTTCTCGTACAGGAGGCGACATCGTCTATTTGAGGTTAGGTTTTAGCGAAAAATTCGGCCGTTATTTTGATCATACTATTTTTCATCGCGACTTTCTTTTCGAGCGAAGTCACAATAAACCAACTGTTCATTCATTTCGCACGTTCTAATTGTCAATTTTCTGTGCAAAAGTTGAAGAAAAATGAATTGCAGTGCAATTGGCTGTGAGAATATCCAGGGATGTAATCCCCACGTCTCCTTCCACCAACTCCCACACCACGAGAGTGAGAAGGTGGTGAGGAAGTGGAGGAAAATCTTGAAGAAGTCGTCAGGTATTGAGAAGAAGATCATCAGAGTGTGCTCTGACCACTTCCTGCCTGACGATTTCCACCCCACTTCCCGAGCTCTGCAGGGAGAGTGGAAGTGCAGAAGGAGATTGAAGAAGGGAGGTAATGATTTATATACAATGCAGGTTGTTCTTTTTTATTATTTCATCTATAATAATTTTCAGTTTTCCCGACGAAAGTTGGGACATCTCCAGAGCTGAGCCGGGCTCATCCAGAGGCGAGTCTGGACCTCATCCAATCTCTCAACCCAGAGATTGCAATTCTATGTAAGTTTCAGAATAGAAATATGTGTAAATTGATTGACTTAAATGTGCTCTCGTATTTCACAGGGATCATTCCTACGCAAAGATCATGCCCTGCGGTAATGGAGATGAGTTTGAGGAGAGAACTGCAGTCTTGAGAGACGAGGATGAAGAGCTGAATGATGTGATCCGCGATGAAGCCGGAAGTGACAAAGAATCGGAAGTAGATATGCTCTTCGACAACACAATCGAAATTATTTCGGATTATGAGGAGACAGTGGAAGATCAATCGATTGATAAGTTATTTTTTTTATAATATTCAATAACTCTATATGGATTTCATTAATTTTTGCGAGAAAGTTGAATTTTACTTCCAAGATTCCACGATTTTCATCTCACTTTTAAAGTGAAAAAAAAATGTTCTAAAAGACACGTGTGAATTTATTAATGAAAATGTGGACTGCAGCAGATATTCAAAAGATGTCTTAAATACTTATGTGAAGCAGAGAATTAGAAACAAAATAATTTACCAAAATAATCACTTAATTGAGAAGGAGAGAAGGGCGAATATGTATAGGAAAAAAGGGTGGGCGGCTTCACAGGAGCAAAAGAAAATACAAACATTCACAACTTGAATAAAATAATGAAAATCCGTGAAAAAAGAATTGTTTAAATTTAAATTCCCGCGAATTCACTTCACCACGAAACACAAATTTAACTATACATCTTCTTCTTCTTAAAATGGTCGCTTGTCGCCTCCTGTCGAGAACCCCAACAAACAACAAATACATACCTCACTGCTTCGCTTGTTGTGCTTCTCAGCTGTTTGAAGTCATAATATCCGCTGTAAGAATCAACCAGCAAGATATAATCCTTTCCACGATATGAGAATAGATCTGTAGCCACAATCTCGAAAGGTAAATCTGGTATCCTTTTCAATGATAGACTCTCCTTTTGATTGGCTCTTTGGTGCTTCTCACAAGCAGTGCATTTCTCCACCTTTTGCGTGATTTCAGCTGTCATTCCGGGCCAATATAAGAACTCTCGTGCTCGTCTCAGAGATGATTGAACTCCACAGTGACCTCGATGGATGTCTTTAAGCGCTTTGCTTCTTTCAGATTCGGGAACGTAAACTCGATCGCCTTTGAACACCAGTCCTTCTATGTAGGAGAGCTCATCTCGGAATGTGAAGCACTGCCTTATAAGTTTGGGCACATTGTCTTGTCGATCTGGCCAACCCTCCAAGATGTATCTGATGACCAATCTCAGCGCTGGATCACTTGCTGTGGCTATTTTGTACCTCTCAGCTGCTTCCTCAGTAAGGCATGTCAGTGCGTTAATTTCAATCTCATCTTCGTCTTCGGAATGGACTTCTATCTCACTCTGGCAATCTCTACTAAGTGTGTCAGCGACTGGAATCGAAGTCCCTTTTACGTACTTGATCTTGACATCATAGGCCTTTATCTCATGCAGAATATTCTTGAGTCTTGGCGGTACTTTCGTGAGCGGCTTCGTGAAAATGGTTTCCAACGGTTTATGATCGGTTTCGACCACGATTTCTTTCCCCCAAATGTAGTTGTGGAATTTTCTGAAAGCATGTCGAATTGCGCCGGCTTCCTTCATTATTTGTGGCCAGTTCTGTTGATTCTCGTTTAGCGCTTTCGTAGTGTATCCAATTGGTCTTCCTTCTTGTAACAAAACTCCCCCGAATGCATACGACGAGCTGTCCACTGACACTGTCACTGGTTTGTTGACGTCATAGAATGCCAACGTTGGTGTCTTTTTGAGACAAGCTTTGAGATCTTGAAATGCGGCTTCCTGGTCAGGTGTCCAAACCCACGCGGCTCCATCTTTCACAAGTTCTCTTAGCGGCGCCGTCTTGTCTGACAAGTTTGGGATGAACTTGCCAACGTAATTTAACATCCCAAAGAACCTGTGGAGTGTTTTCTTGTCTTTTGGTCTCACTAGCTGATCAATGGCCTCCAGCTTAGTCTCATCAGCTTTCAGCCCATTCCTTGAGACCCTATGCCCGAGAAACATCACTGTGGGTTGATTGAAGACGCACTTGCTTTTGTTCAGCTTCATTCCTCTCTGTTTGAGAAGCGCCATA